CCCACTACCAGTCAAAACCATGTCAGTTATGACAGAATTGTGAAGACGAAAGCGATACCTGTAACGAAGTTTTGATTGACATTTAGTCAGTCGGCTGCTTCATTAGAAATCATTCGACTGTACAGCTATCTGTAATCCTAAATCCTGAAATAAAAATCATCATCAAATTCAGCATACGATCAGGCGTTACTACGTAACGATTCAAGTTCCCACACCCTATATCAGCACATCAAGTAACAAGGCGACAAAATGGAAGATGAAGAAGGAAAACAACGTCGGTCAAAGGAAGTAGAAGATGGTGAAAGAGAAGGATGACTAGTGAGATAGTGAGACTAAGTATCGCTGTTAAGATGGGGATGGTGTGTGTATGCATTTGCGCCGTTGATATCGGTTGTGAGTCATATCACTCATAGTCTCCAAGCACTAACTTTCCTTGTTCCGCTGACCCCGATCTCCAAGTCTTCATCACCCAACAAGGCTCAAACGAACAGTCAAAGACCTCATGCATTGATGCCATGTTTTAGACTGGCCAACTCGAAACTATGACCAGTCTGAACTTACTTTGACCAAGGTTGTACGTCAAAGCAGGGGGTGGTTAGGTATACGTAGCACATTTCCTAGCCATCTCAGTCGATGAAAAAATAATGGTGACTTTTATCTTTAATGAACAGCTAGTTACCCGGGAGCAATCTCTTGTATTTTCATATATTTTTTCGTCGTACCATAAAGGTAAGAAAACTTGTTCTTGAACTACAAGCTCATAGAGTAATATTTTTTTATGGTGACATTTCATTTCAAAAGTTATTTATTTGGCTGAAAACATTTCCTTCCTTTAATTTCGAAAACAACAATCTTGTTGTCAATGCAACTGAGCATTAAATTACCTAATTCTGCTTGACATACGAAGTTGGCACACTACAAACAGACCAATCTTTTTTAAACCCAAATGTCTTACTTTTAAAATGCTGGAAGAGATTCGTAGCTAAGGATGAGGATGACGGTGGTTTAATGTTTTCTGAGCTTTGATATTTTCTCATGGACGCATAACAAACGGTTAAATATTGATATCATAAGGTTTAGTAAATGTCTGAAAATATTTACACTCTACTACGAGATAAGAAGTTGATATCTCCAATTGATAAGAAACTACCACATGTTGGAGTAAACATCATTTCAACTATCATGGTTAACATTCACTGAAATACAAGCTCTTACACTTTGCCACAATTTACTTTAAATTAGTGAAAGCGTACTGTCTCAAAGAACAGACGTTCTGCTCAATGTGCCTTACATAGATCACTTTACTGGTTTCAATGAACTAAGGTAGTAATCAAAATATGAGAAATACTTTTTATTTTTGTAGAATACTGTTACTTATATAGAGAAAATTCATAAAGATAAGGGGTGACATTATGAAAAGAGGTCAAGTTTGAAGGTCAAATGAAATGCCAAATAACAATGAAAATTAATAGAGCGAAAACAGTAGTACATCGGACTTGGTTTCACAGTTGAATTCATCAATGGAGATTTATTGTGATAAGAAATTGTTTTTTGAATATATAAAGGTGGTTTAAAATTCCTAATAGTGTAGGTCTCAAAAGTTACCTGAAAACGTTTTACCTTTTGTTCATCGTTAAATTAAGGTCAACAGTTGACATTCAAAACACATAATTGATGTAATAAAACATTAAGAGTACAAGGTTTTATTACTTTTTTTATATGGTGATAATATATATTGGTGGCGTTTTGTTAATTCATGCGAAAATTTCAAACTTGCTCTGTTATTCTTTTCAGCTTTAGTTTTACGGTTGTGATTAAGTTAACTCACATTTTAACGTCTGTGGAAATTTAAAAGTTTTGCTAACTAACTAATCTGTTAACGAATGAACACAGATGTAGACGAAATTACTTAATAAAATATAAGACTTTTAATTGACATTTGTAGTTTTACGTTGTTATACTAGATCGAATTGTTCCACTGCTGTCCACAGACGCACCTCACTAGGGATGTCTCGATGCTGCCTGTTCTTGTAGTGTACATAGCGGCTAGTCGTGAAATCCAGGACGTATGGTTTGTTCTACTTGAGATTCATTAGGTGGATTCACCAGCACCCCAGTGAGTGACGGTGTTCACATTGAGGCTCGAATGTGTTGCCTATTGCACCAAACGCAAAGCTTTATTCAGTAGGGCACTAAAGTATGAGGACTACCTCTTGTAAAGACGACGAGAGATTCGATCTAATATAACAGTGAGAAAATACAAGTACTAATAAATAATAAATGAAAGCTATTACACAATAGCTTTATCTCGTGCTTTAGCTGCCTATCGGACAATGTTTATGGCATTTAATGCGATGGATAATGAGTTCATGTATCAGGGGGAACACCACCACTTACAAGAGTGCAGGTATACCGGCTAACGGGTGACAGATAGTACGAAACGTGTCTTAGATTTCATTGCTAACCATAAAGTCAACCATGAAACACACTTCTGTTACATAGAAAGTAGGAATCAACAGTAACTTCCTTTTGCTTATATCGCGATAATTTGACGTTAAATAAGTAATTTATAGTCTTGTAATAATGAAATTTGCTTAGGCTTGGATTCCAACATTACTTGTTGACAATTTATCTTGACTTTTTTCAGGGAAAGACAAGCTAAAAACTTGTAAAACATTCCCAAATGTCATCACTTGGTGGAAGAGAAAAAAGAGTAAGTGTATTTTGAGGGTGATTTCAGTGGTTTCAGTAGATTTTTGGTAATTCCTGGTAATTAGTCACAGTAATGTGGAAGAATTTTTGAAAGAAAGTGAACAAGTAACCATTGTTTAGTTTTTTGAAATCATAACCATTTATTTGAATAATGTTCTGGTTTGACTATGCGACAGAAATTTCAACTTATTACCGACCTGTCTGTCGTTTGGGTGTATATTAACAGAAGTATAGAACTGGTCACAACAATAAGAAATATTTCTGCCTAGTCTTGAATTTATAAACTACAATATTGCCACACTTTCGCATAACTTAACATGGTTAAGATTGATTCAAGTTGTTCTTAGTTTCTTGCATAGAATTATGAAGTCTTTCATAACAGACTTAAACACTGACGTGTCTTATTCATCAGGATTTGAATTGACTTTACCTCACTAGCATATATTTCAATTCATCTCGGTGTTTTTTCTCTATCTCTCTATTCATGAACATTTTAAGTATAAGGTTATTTATTTAAATAGCTATAAAGCATAGCCAGTAATCTTGGAGAAATTACGAACACTGAGGTTTTCTTTCATCTTAGAAACGAACAATTCAAATGAATATTCACTGGCCAAATGAACTTAATACCTAACATACGAAATCCGATTGAAGAGTTTTTGATAAAAGATACATAGGTGTTATATGACTTCTGGAAATCGGTGTCAAAGGAAGAATACATTTCTACACAAATCTAGCAACTATTGCCATATCAATTTTGCAATTTTTCGCCTAATTCCTTAGTATGGCTCCAATACAAGATTGTGCACTAAGTAACTTCGATAAACGATCCGGAAATCATACATACTATTATAAAGTCATGAACTTTTCAACAAAATGTCAACTGTCGAACTTTTTATCGACGTACATTTCATCATATATTTGTTAGCAAGTAATTGATTTTAACAATACTAGTTAGGTTGCCTACACCTTATAAAATCTTGTTAATATATTTTAGTATGTTGTGTAACTTTTTCTTTCGGTATTGTTAGGTTTCCACTCATGAGTTATGCAAACGGCAATTGAATGAATGCATAGTTGATTTTTAGAGTGTCAGTAGTCAGGTTTTTTCGTTCTTCAGTATTCATAGATACTCATATATCCTATCATGATTGCGTGGTTAGTCTGCCAAGTAATACAACATGACAGTATTCGGTGCATTCCCCTAAACGTTTATGGGTACATCTAGTGATGAAAGGCGACCAGTGATGAAAACTAGCACGTGCGATTTATCCTATCTGAGACTCATCAGTCAGCTGCGCCTGCCTACCTGTTAGAACGTAATCTTTCGTTCTCTTTAAGACTTGGACCCAGAACCCATAGATTCACACACCGTAGCGTTACTCGGTGGGATACAGAGTCACGGGAGCTACTTATCGCATAACAGGTATAAGCTGATTGCTTTATAAGTAATACACCTTTTCAATTTAAGTAATAGCTAATAAACTCAAGATTTGAAAGATTAACATCCAACGTTTTAGGTTGAAGATTCGCTAATAACGTTCATGGATGTCTGAAATGAAGTTTTATAGGAATAAATGTTAAAATACGAGGGCCGAAACAAACTAATTACTCTCGAAGTGTTCAAACTGAAGTAATATCAATCCAGCTGATACAGTATGCCAAAGTGGATAGATCAGGTTCGTAATTTGTTACAAAACTATGGAGTATTGTATACTGGTGCTGGGAATTAGGAATCAGTCGACTAGAATTTGTCAACTGAAGTTTCATGCTTACCGCCAACTATCAGCAGAATTTGCTTGTATCGATAATGCACCTGATGTCCTCTTATTGGTGCGAAACTGCATAAGTGACAACAGACGTCACTTAGTTATTTGGGACGTGATCAAATTCGTTTAGGAATAGATTATGTAGTGGCATTGATTACAAGAGTAAAAGTCAAACAGAGATGAGTTTTCAGGAAACAAACATCCGCAAAAGATTTCCAACATAGACAGTAGTGGCATATGTAATAAAAAAGAAAAGAATCATAATTTGGTGATGAAAGTCAACAAAAGTCAACAAAAAGTTTTCTTCCTGACGAATCATTTTCAAAAGCTATACAATTGCAATCATAGTTACAACAGAATATATACCAATCAATAACTAGTAGTAGGTCAATACGAAATCATCATAAATGCTCAACAAGATCACAAGATGATAATAGCAAGAAGCCCAATTCAAAGTCATCAAAAATTCCTTACAGGATTATAACAACTAAACAGTGAACAAAGAAATGAATAGATTACCTCAGGGAGATCACAACCAAGGTAAAATTTGAGATCCAGTTTATCACTTTTGAACTCAAAAATCAGGCTGGAACCACCGGATTGTCAAGGCCTCTTGTGTATTTTGGTGGCAAATGTTCACTCCTCCCAAATGTTTGATTTCACTTTGTGAATGATTTTGAAAGGGGGTCTTGTGTAGTAGAGTGACCAGAGTTAATGGAATGGTTAAGAATGTGGTTGTTGATAACTCTACACTCTTCCTTGGACACGCATGGAGTACACTGTTTGGAGATGCGTTTAGATGGTACATACTTTGTGTGACGTATGAAACTAGCTCAAGGAGAACAGGTGAACTGATGAGTGGATGTGGAGATGTATGAAAGTGGTAGTTTATCCTCTATACACCCTCGAATCAGTTGCCAGGTTAAGTAAAATATCCAAAGCTGGATGAATAATATTGTCTTCTTCAGTGCTCTGCACAATCGATTCTTCAGTGTGTCGAATTGGTAATTTTTGATGACCTTGAGTTTGGCCTTTAGTCGTTATCACTTTGTAACTTGGTTGACCTATTTTGATGACCTTGTATTGATTGCTTAGCTGTTCACAGATGATTATTTGTGGAAAAGGAAATTCCATTCTCTGAATTGTCTTTTGGTGATTGTTCGTAAATAACTTTAATAACCTATTCAGTATAACAATTCACATTTTCCCTGGGATGAACCGACAGTCACAAAAGGTGAAATAAGGCAGTGAACTGAGCGCAATTTGGATAAATTTGCTGAAAGTTTTATCCTATAAGTATACTGTTCAAATGAATTTTTAAAGTTTTCACTGGATTTAAAGGCCAATCACTCTGGTACTTTGGATATGCAATGTCAGATTTGTTATGATTATTTTTTAGCCAATCAGCACATGTATGAGGGTAATTTAAGCGTCAAGATATTGATTCTGTGAAGTGGTCAGCAGTAATTATTTATTTCGGCGCCTAATCTATCAGTTGAATACACTGTGGTTATCCTCGCAAGAATAATGACAATTGTTCCAGTAACCACAGAATACACTTTGGTTTTATAGTTGCCCAGCCAATATTTCCATGTTTTACTCTGTTATAAAGAAATTATTGTATTTTTTCCTTTGTTAACATGATAAGTAAAATGAATCACCCACCTCCTTCAATGTGAGGGATAATGTGAAAATTAATTTCATACTGAGTAGTGAATAGTTTCTCATTCATAAGTGATAGTCTTCTTTTTGTGTCGATAAACTGTAACTGATGGAAATTATTTATATCTGAAGAAAAATGTGTTTTCATTTAATTATCTGTTTTAGGGAATATATATATATATATATATATATGTCTGATAGTGTAATGACTAGCAGTGACTAATATTATTATGATTTCACTTGTTTATCTTCCTCCTAGCTGCTTTTGATTAGAATTGTTATTATAGACAATAATTTGTTGATTGAATCAAAAAGTTTATAACAGTTAGACACAGTTTCTTTAATTGCTGACTAATTATACCAATAAACATGAACATTAGTGAGTAAATGTGCACATAGATTTTAATAATTCTACAACAACACAGATTTTATGTTTACTTGTAGGAGCAAGTGTAATTGTTGAACAGATTGATAAAGTGAACACCTATCCACATTTACCTTCAACCTCATTTTTATCGACTTCATGGATTTGTTGGGATACATTGATCTCATATGAATTTTCATCACAAACTGATATCATTTGGAGAATTATTGGAAGATTTGGAACAAAGAAGAGATATTTCGTTCAGATCTGAGACTCTTCAGCAGCGTATTCCAACAAATCTGCTAGGAATGGAGCCGAAAATCATGCGTTCTTTGGTAAAGACCTTACCATTTAGCCATTTAATTAAAATCCTTGTGATGATTAGGAACACAGAGGAGTTTTCATCATATATCGCAGATGATCATCTGCGTTATTGCTAACATGGTTAACCTTACAGTTCATTTCTCGTTAGAACCTCAAGTAACCCAGCTCAAACTAAGTTGTGAATCAGCACAGGACAATGATTTACTTAGTAGTTTAGTGGTGTTTATTGACTTTAAAGTAATTTCCTTTGTGGATTGTTATCAGTTGAATTTCTGGAAGTTATAATTACTGGCTGTTATCTGTGAGTTCAGTCAGTTTAGGAGTTAGGATGATGTCCAGCGGTGAAATTGAATGACGATCGCACTGTATCATAAATTAACAGAACTGGGAAAAGATGGGATAATACGATTCGAAACCAGAGGATAAACAATTACGCGCTTGCCATGATATGTGGTGGTAATGGGTGCGTATTGATGAAAATTACCATCTCGTGGCAAAACTACTCTCCAGTGCTGCCAGGTTATCAGTGGATTCAAACTCTGGTAATTGAAGTGACTTTTTTCTCCCCAAGGAATACTGATAACTATAATTCAAATAGCTAGTTCATAGAGAACAGATTTGTTACTAGGCCATATATTTTACTTCACACAGACGACTTCACATTAGAATAAATCAGTATATTAGCACAAACTTCTTGTAGTTAATTCTTTATGTCATTTTGTAATGAATACTGTCTTCAACAAGTCTATTTAACCTGCTTTGTAATCGTGAGATAAATGATGACCAAAGCCTAAAGAAAATGTGGATCTCAGATGAAATACTTCACACATGTACTACGTTAACTACCCTGTTCATGAACTTGTCACTATTTTGATTCATACTCGCTGATAATTGAAGGTGAAATGACGATTCAGGTAGCTTTAACATTCAAACCAACGACCACCGGGTTTCTTGCCCAATTCTTTACCGACTGATCTACTGGACTAAACTGCTGACCAGGTTTTTGTTTCACCTTGATCATCACCCAGTATCAGTGCAAATCTTCTTAACCACAGCCATATCAAAGAGTGAAATGTGTAACTAATATGAATAACAACTACTGTAAATTTTCATAATTAGAACTTGAATGAGTAGCGATTCATAGTGTATGATTCAGTAGATTGGTATGGAATCGAAAAACTAAGTAAAAGATTAATAAACAAACAGAGTTTTGCAGTCAGACAACAGGTTATAAACCACCCGCTGGTTAATAGATTTCATTAGGTTTTAAGCCTGTGAACATACACAATTCAAATAACAATAGAGCCGGTCGGTTCTTAACTCTACGCATTCAAGCAAACTTTTCAGTATCCCTTTGGCTATGAAATCATAATTAAATTTATCAGATTATCACTTCTACCATTCACGTTATCTAATACAAAAATTACTCTAATATTCACATGAAACAAACAGCACAATATTACGCTAATATTGTTAAGATTTTTAAGCGAAACAATTTCATGTATAACTTAATTAGTATAACCTAGTTGACTACTAGCAGTGAGTAACCTAGGGATTATAATCATGATTTATCTGGGAATCGAAAATTTGTAGTTACATTCAACCAATTACCCATAATTTGTTTATATCAGTCTGCCAGTTTTCATTTACTGACTTATTGTAAGTAAACTCATTATTCTGTTTTATTTTTTGCCATAGCCCTTTCAAGCCATGTATGCTTACTTATGATGAAGTGATATACGTCTGTCTTAGAACAAAAAGATGATTTCCACATAATGAAGATGATAATAAAAAGTTTTATTTACTGGTTGATTGACAGACGGCTGAAGAAGGATTCAACGGTCATGGAGGATAACCATGGGAGAATGTAGGTAAAAGGTAAGATAACTAACCTTTTATATGGGCTGTTAAGGTCAAGCATTTTACAGGCACCACGTTCAAATGCATTGCATAATCACTCACTTAAACTGGTTTATAACACCTAGTAGTATTTAGGATGATTTCGTGTTACGTTTTCTTCAATGAAATATCGCCTATGAAGTTAGCATCTGCCTTACTTCAGAGATAGTTTTATTATGACAGTGACATAATATGTAATTCGGAAGTATTATATGTTATTAATGACTAACCAATGAATAAAACCATTTCTTTCCATCCTCACAGCAAACATGGGAACAACTTGGACACGTCTAGGGTAAAGTAGCTATGTTAAGTAGATGGAGATTATGTTGGGCGAGATAAATCCAAAGAAAACCTTAAATCACTACTTCACGCTGCTTAGTGCCTATTAGCGGAATCTAAAACAAAATTTGGCCCACTGTTTCTCGTTAAAACGTTTAAACTCATATACTTGCATGGAAAAGAAACTTATGGGTGGTAAATCAGCTGCAGCTCTAGTGAATCATTGGTAACCTTCTTGAATACTACACTAAGTGGCTTGCGTTTAGCTGTCAAGGACAGATTCAGTTGTATGGTTGCAGCTTCCCAGAAATCATTTATAAGCAGACAAAATTAATACCATTTTGAATTTGCCGAGTAACTTTCAATAATTATTTATTTAATTTAGACAACTCTGGATGTTGGAAACTAGTGCTGAATAGTAGCTAGAAGTGGGATCCACAAAGTTTGTTTCTTCTTGTTTGGTACTGGTTAATCAAGTGTACCCACCTCTTTCTTGAATGATGTCTTCCCTTCTGGAAACTTAATTCAGCAGCCATTGCCTACAACTCTTGAGCATCATTCTCTAGGCCATTGATTCACAACACTCAAGCTTTGAAAGAAGAGAAACTGCTACACATGACATCAAACATAAGCTCCATGTGTTCATGTTCTCGGAAAGTCTTAGTTATCTGCTACTGAATGCACAAACAAGAGTGAGCATAGCATTCTAAAACTACTCCAACAAGCACTACCTATTTATTAAGTCACATGCAACTGACATTCTATGTCGTGGTTTCTGATTCAAGTAACCTGACTTCACGCTGATGATAATAATAATGATAACATTATGAAAAAAGTAGTAAGCAACTGGTTTGAAAACGTTAAATTCAATACCAACTGTAAACTTTCTATGAAAAAGAGTTTCTTCATTTAAATCAAAGAATAGTTCAATCGTGAAGGTTTAGTTTATTTCCATGTATACTGAATTTCTCATTTAAATAAGTAACATTCAAAGTAATAGTTTAAAAAGTTAGGGAAAGAATTTTAATCCTGATTTAAGTGAAAATGCTACAAAATTATATCAAAAGGAAAAGATCTTCCAAAGAAATGTAACTATACTTTACTTCTTTTGTTCATCTTCTATAATGTCAATCTAGATTACTCGTTAGTAGTGTCTTTGTTAGTGGAAAGATAACTTAGTGATAAAAGAAATACAGCTGATTCTATTGTAGATTAAAAAAATTTTCCTTGGATGGTAAAAGCCCTCTTCTCAGTCGTCATCAATTTTCGTTTAGGTCCAGTATAATGACAACGGAGAAGAGGGCTTTGTTTCTGCTTTTACCTTTCAAGGAAGACGGTCCAAGTGACATCCGATCATAATAACTAGCTAGAGCAGTCAATAAGACATTGAATAGAGGTCCGCCTTGCATGGCTTTCGGTGATCGGCCAGTGCTCAGTCATAAGCTTGAGGACACCCCAATAAATGTTAGTTCTTCACCCTGCATATATCAGTTTAACACCTGCTGTGTAACAAGTTACAAAAGGGGTACGACTAGGCAGAAAAGTCTCCAGATACAAGAGCATTTACCAGCTTGGTTCGGAAAAGGTGAATTGGAAGTGGTGAAAATTTACCTGTAACACCCCCAGTAAACACAGGGTTTCACATAGATGCTAATAAAGCTTTCCATGCGGTTCATCATATTACAAAAAAGATAATACGTGTAGCTTGCCAACGCCTGCTCAATATAACTTAGTCTGTCACAATGAGGCTAGTTAA